ACAATGAAAGCGCTGCACCTGACAGTATTTCGCAGATAAATAAAAGTTTTCTGTTTATTATCGCGATAAAAACGAGATTCCTGCGTGTTTCTCAGTAGAATTCGCGGAACGTGTTTGTGTTCGTTGAGGCCACTCTATAAACTGCAAATTCTAATTGGAATTTACGAGTAGCACGCACTGCGGTCTTTCAAAACCCGATCCAAGCAGGTGCTTCAAATCGTCTGATCGAGATTTATGGTTACGTTCAAGGAAAAAAGAAAGGCGTAGCAGAGCCAGAAATGGTTCTCGTTATTGCGGCCCGCTGTGTGTTATGGCCTCTTCGTAAATCCAAATTCAGCGCAAATAAAGAGGTTGAAATATTCCTGGAAATTGTTTGTCCGATTGTTGATGGAATTCGGATTTTTCATATTTGAAAACAAATATTTCCGTTAGGAAATTATTGTTAGAAATATTCTACGACCGTGTGTGTGTGTGTATTATATTGAGGAGAAAGAAATGGAATTTTTAGGAATATTTTGCGATTAATGGATGACACGCGAGCCATTTAATGCTAACTTTTAAAAAAGTACGAAGCATTTGGAATGAAACCGTCGAATGTGATATGCCATTAAAATTACGTTAAGCGGAAGTGGGACTAATTTTATTTTCAGGCAACTCTAACCTAATAACTGTCGCTCCACTGATTTATGAGCGGTTCAATGTGACGCGATTGTGAAACAGAACGCTGAAATTCATTAAACTGTTCTTTACGAATATTAATAGAAATTACAAATTAAATTAATAACCATTGTATTGTATGCGAATACAGCAACGATTTCATTACATTAATGAACGTGCGCCATTTCTGACGTTTAAACAATTGCGTCATTCGGAGTTTTTGCTGGACAAGTGAAATTGAATAAAAGCACCAAGGAGACGTGTAATTTCACTGACCGAAGAGCCTATAAATACCAGTCCATTCGACGCTGCTGTAAATCAGTGTACAGTGTTACAGGCGCTGTAACTCTATAGTAAGTATTAATGAAGTATCGAAGAAACTGATAAAATTCAAAAGAACCAGCGTTTTATCATCGATAAAGTTGAAATATAAGCTATAGTACGGATGAATGCCACATTTTTTCCATCGGCTAGAATTTTTTCATACAAACACCTTCGATGCTAAATTTCGGAATTTTTTTTCTACGTATAGCCAGTATGGCTATCGCGAATCGATGCATTGATACTCCGTTCTATTTTTCTCCTTTTTTTTTTCTTTCTTTTTTTTTTTTTTTTTTTTTTTTTGAACAGTTAACTGCCAACATTCGTATTACTAACAATTGGAAATGGCAATTTATACGCACCATCTATAATGGAGCGTGAAAACCCGACACCATATCAAGTTTTCTCTTTTGTTAAGTAGAATTGAAACAGGAGATCCTATTTTCAACATATAAAAAATATAAGATGATTTCTAGATCGGCAAGTAAATGATGATTAATTCCACCGTTTTGCTATTTCATCTAAACACGTAGCACACTTGACAAGTAAACATTCACGATATTTTAACAGTAAGTACACACTCTTGTTGCACCAGAACAACCGGCCTTTAATAGGTATCAAAATATTCTACGTATAAATCATAATAATCAAAATAATCATTATATACTATGTTTCTAATCAAAAATATCTTTTAAATAATTGTGAAATTCGTCGTATTGACGGATTTGGTTACCTTAATGTTAAATGTTGAACCTCGACGACGTTGAAGAGCGCACATCAGAAAATATCTAAGTAGACGAGGAATCTCAAACGAAAAGTTTCCGGCGGTAGAAAATTCAGAGAGGCTACTTTTACATTTCCTGTCGTCGACCGATTAGAACGTTTAATCGCTGTCTTTCGTGCTCGTCGTGCTCGGCAGTTATTATTAATAACGAGCCATTTGCTCGCGTTAAATGTTTCTCTCTCGCTCGTTTTAAACAGGATTCACAAAGAACGTCGTCCCAGCAGAAGTGCAGAAGTGACGCTTTTCAAGACATTCAACGGTACGAAGCGACACAAGCGGACGCGTGTTCGCAGTTTGCATACGCGCAAACGTGCCACACACGATTGCATATAAATGCGAGCAATATTCCACACATTGTCGGCATTATCCACTCTGACACTCGTGTTCGTAGCCAGATAAATACAACGTCGAGTCAACATCGCGTCGTTCTCTGGACTTCAGAGGGAGGGAAACGCTAAAGAAGATAGGGGACGGCGGCTGGAAAGCTCTTAAAGCTCCGACCATCGTCGAATTACTCCGGATTTTCGAGGGTCATGGCATCACGCCCACGTTTCTCGCGATCCATGCAAATTTTCCGCACACACGCTCTGTTGTCATTTTGTAGTTGAATATCGTTCAACCCATTCGCGCTCGGCATAACGAACGTCCCTCTATGACGAATTGCATAATTGGCGAGTTGCGTAACAGGCTGTACAGGACGAAACAGTGGATACCGTTTGCGTTACGTAACAACGTTACAACGTTACAGAGTATCGTATTTGACAGGCAGGTATCTGTCAAACTAATATTTAAACGTCACTGAAAAGTTTCAACGGTTGAGACCAAGGCAGATCTAAGCCAAGAGGGAATGGTTGCGCACGACAGACGTATGTACGTGCGACAGAGCATGGACAATATTAATGATCGATCTTGGTAATCCTTCTTCTAACGTCTCAGAGATTAATTAATCACGTAACCCGACAAATCCTCTGAACGAGATCATGCTGATAGCGGCTCAAAGTTGGCTGGAAATTCCGTTGTGCAATTTCCCGGATGATTTCCCTATGGAATGCACGGTAAACCATAAAACTTTGTATCGGGCATAATATCGGGGCGGTTTACAGTCGAACGCAGACA